TGTGAAAACAGAAAACAAAGCATTGACAATCAGAATACAAATAATCTACAATTTATCTACATAATATCTACAAACTAGGTACATTGAATTTTAATATCTCAATTCTCATTCAATTGTAGCATAATTGGGATTTTTGACATAATTGCGTTTTTTCAGAAGATTTGTAGGAGTTTTAGTCATTTTTTATTTGTGAAAACAGAAAATAAAGCATCTTCAATCAGAATACAAATAATCTACAATTTATCTACAAAATATCTACAAACTGGGTACATATTTGGACTCGACATGCTTCCCCTGAAATGTATGTTTCATATTTTTGATACATATTTTTGTCCAAAACAGTACTAAATCATCCACTTAAATACAATGTTTATACAATATTGTTCAACTTTTATACAATAGGTAAATGAATAAAAGAAAAATAAATAAACAACAGTCTACAATTTCTCTACAATTTCTACAATATAATGTATGTCATGTCTTCTTCATCATCATCATCATCATCATCATCATCATCATCATCTTCTTCTTCTTCTTCTTCTTCTTCTTCTTCTTCTTCTTCTTCTTCTTCTTCTTCTTCTTCTTCTTCTTCTTCTCCATCATCATCATCATCATCATCATCTTCTTCTTCCTTCTTCTTCTTCTTCTTCTTCTTCTTCTTCTTCTTCTTCTTCTTCTTCTTCTTCTTCTTCTTCTAGTTTCAATCTGAAATTCAGTCAAAATCAAGTTTAATCTTCACCAAAACCCCTCAAAATTGGGATATAAACTCCAAACCATATTCCCAATTATTTTCAACAACACCCAATCCAATAATGATTTTTGAAAACCCAAATTTGAATTCAAAGCTTTCAAACTTTTTAATGGCTGTAATGGTGGAATTGCTGCTCTCTTTTCCTTTGCTTTGTGTTACTGAAATTTGGGATTGAGAGATAGAGAGAGATGTAGAGAGAATTCTGGAAACAGAGTTTATCACAAAAATAGAGTATGAAAAATCTTGATCTGTGTTGTGGAAGATCAGAGTGAAGCCGATAATAATTATGGAATGTGCGTGATCTGCGTTGTGGAAGATCTTGAAGAATATTTAATTCCTCAATTTTAGCGTGCCTAAATAAGGAATCCTACAGCTACAATGATTCCTTATTTAATACATTGTCTATATTTTGTAGGAATACTATTAGCATGAAGGGTAATATGCAAGCTATGAACATATTTGGTAATATAGTTTCCTATATGGTATATGAACGAAAATTTTCCTTTGTAGAAATGATATTGTCGCAATTCAAGAAGGGGCATTTGCATCTATACCCGCTTTGCAAAAAAATTGCAAGTGTAGCCACTTTTTTGCGTAACTTCAGCATATGGGCCTGAAGTAGCAAAGACAATCACGCAAACTTCAGCATTCTAGTAGACGGGCCTGAAGTAGCAAAAATTGCTGAACCAAGTGTGTTGAAGTTTTTGTTTGTAGTAGCTGAAGTTTTGTTCTCTATTTGCTGAAGTTTTTGTTTGTAATTGCTGAACTTCAGCATGTTTAGCTAAAGTTTTTCACGTAAACTTAGTGTTGGCTGAAGTTTTTGTTTGTAATTGCTGAACTTAAGCATTCTAGTAGCTGAAGTTTTGTTCTCTATTTGCTGAACTTCAGCATGTTTTAGCTAAAGTTTTGTTCTATATTTGCTGAACTTCAGCATGTTTTATGCTATCATGTAATTGATTTTTTGTACAGATAATAAGTTTATCATAAGTAGAATTAGTAACTTAAAAAACTAGATAAATGATTTAGCACAACATGTTGAAATGCATTGATAATGTACAAAGTTGAATCCAACAAGTTACTATCATCTTCTTCAAAACTTACTTTAGAAAGTTAATTATAATTTATTATTAAATAATCTGATAAACATATTTATGGTAGTTAACCGCATGAACTGAAGTTTCATAGCAGCACCAACAGCAGCAGCAGCAAAAGAAGAAGAAGAAGAAGAAGAAGAAGAAGAAGAAGAAGAAGAAGAAGAAGAAGAAGAAGAAGGAGAAAGAGAGCTGAAGTTGTTTAAAAAATAAGTACAAGTTAAAACTTTTTTAAAAAATGAGTATAGATTAAATGAGGCGATAAAAAAGAGATGCCCGTGCAATTTTTACATTCAAGAAGAATCAGACATATCTATACAGTACAGCCTACACCACCAGAAATTGTCACAGATTCTAACGAAGTATTAAATATGCTTTAACTCGAGTGATAAAAAAACTAATTTTGATATATCATTGACCGATTGCATGTTATTCCTAGTTAGGCTAGAAATTAGAAAATCCTACCTCCTGTCAATCTCATACTTTCAAAAAAGCAAATCAAGTTGCGGAGCAATAGAGAAAAGAAGAAAGCTCTTGTTCGAAATCCACTATATACGGAGTCCAAATTCCGCCTGTGTAATTTCACTAAGTTATTGTTGTTGACACTATATATGGAGTAATATTTTTATTCGTTGTGTATATATGGGTATTCCTATGAATGAAGCTATTTGCTTTTTCTCTTTTTCTTGTATGATCTATTGGCTATTTGACAAAACAAAAAGACAGAAAATTAATCATTCTGATAAGAGTTCAAAATATGAAGATGTATTTAAACGGTAAAAATACTTTTCTAATACATCGTCTCCCTTCCTCTTTCAATCGAAACACTCGACACGGATAGCTCCGGTGGCCCCCACTTCTGCTTCTATCCGGCGGTGACATCCCCTCTACCCCACAGCATAGAAGAGCTGCTCCAACATCCGCACTAAAACCAATAAAAATGCTCTCCGGAGCCTTGACGGACAAATCAATATTTTTGTTATTAAAGATAGCCTCAACCAGAAAACTACTATTACATGCCAACCAACTTATAATACATACATCCCTCAGAAATAATTACTCAAAAACTCTGTTGGTGCAAGTCATTCTTCTCCGAATTGTATATTTAGGTCCAACTTTCACCAAAAGTTCCTTAGTTTTGTTAGAGATTTATAAGTAAAAAAAAAATTAAAAAAATTGTAAGTAGTGATGCTGTTTTCCCCCTATAATATTAGATTAAGACGAGCTTAAATGAGACTACATGGATACTTAAAATTCATGTAACCACACCAACTTGCTCGGAATCGAGCTAAAGATAATCCTTTTGATTGACATCATGGTTAGAGATAATCCTTGAATACCACGAAACTAAAATCCTCACCTTCATGTGGATCACCAGAAGCATGAAAAAGCTACTGAATGAGGGACTTCAACAAACCCTGAACTGTTTCACAGAATAATTCAAAAGGTTATTACCAAATTTCTTCAAAGACAGGCATAATGTTTAGCAGATCCTTATACGGATAACATCAAGGGATGTTGTGGAATGGATGAAATCTCTGCATCTCTAATCTGAGATCTCGGATACGAACCATGGTAAATGGAGAAATTCCTGGTAAGGAGTGCTTCCCCTTTAACTACGCCCCAGGAGGCGTGAATCTGGATTAGTCGGGCCAATGGGTTTCGAATACCAAATGGTTAAACAAAAAAAATATATCCTTGTAAGAAAACAATAATAGAACAGACAACTTGCAATTGGTTAACTGTAATTACTTCATTTGCTGACATGCAAAGTAAAGCTCTACCGCAAAATTGTGGAAAGGAGAAACCTCAAGAGGATAAAACTATCCTGATGTAAAAGAAGAAACTCGAACTAGAGAACATTAAGCCCAAGATCTCCACCAAGTACCTGCTATTATACAACTTTCCTAACTCAATGATGCATTAACAGAGCTACTTGTTCATGTTCTCAATGCCTCAAAAGAGCAATGTATGGCTGTATAAAAGGAAAAGGTTTTCAATGAAATAACTAATGAAAATGATAAATGATGATGGTCTCAAACACAACTCTCTATTTCAGCTGAGAAAAGGGAGAGGAGCTTAAAAGTACAGGACTGTTGGGTGCTTAGATCTCAAGCTGAAGCATAAATTCTTCAAGCAATAACACCGAAAGTATTGTCATGAAAATGTTGTAGCTTCGGTATGCGAAGGAAAATAGCTCTCTATTCAATCGAAATAACTATGTAAAAATTCTTTTAAACATAAACATTTTAAATCATAATATATGCGTACTAGTCTTGTTCTTCGGCTTGTCCATTTGTTGCAGTCGTGGTCGAATCCAGTTGCACTTGTTCCTACTTGATGTTCTACAAATCGACATGCTTCTGCTGAATATGGGCTTCTATTCATGGTTGTTGTAGTGCTTGTCGTTGCTGCTCTTCTATTAAATTTAGCAAATGTTCTTTATTTGACAGTAACAGCCTTTTGTACTGTTGTACCCCACGAACTTTCCTTACTATAGCTGCAACATTCCAGGTTTGTTGTTTGACGAGCTTATCATCTTTTTTGTTCTGCTTCAAAGGTCCCTCTTTTCTCATGACCCAAAATCTGTGGCGAGGAAAGAAAATAGACAACAAATTAGGTGTGCAGATTCTTAGGAGACCATTACAAAAACAACAACATAAACAACCACCCAGTAAAATCCCACAAGTGGGGTCCGGGGAGGTTAGTGTGTACACAGACCTTACCCCTACCCCGGAGGAGTAGAGAGGCTGTTTCCGATAGACCCTCGGCTCAAGAATTGTTGAGAACATTGTTGGAAATAAATGAGAAATAACTAAATTACACCAAGTATCTTCAGTAGGAGTTTCAAACACAATACGTGTATGTTTGATTCTAATTATCCCATTTACCTTTCCCTTCCTTCCATGTAATAAAAACACATTTTAAAGGTACGAAAATCCTCTCTTTGATAGTACAACAACAACAACAACAACAACCCAGTATAATCCCACTTAGTGGGGTCTGGGGAGGGTAGTGTGTACGCAGACCTTACCCCTACCCTGAGGTAGAGAGGCTGTTTCCAAATAGACCCCCGACATCCTTCCCTCCAAGAACTTCCCACCTTGCTCTTGGGGAGACTCGAACTCACAACCTCTTGGTTGGAAGTGGAGGTTGCTTACCATCAGAGCAACCCCTCTTGATAGTGTTTATAACAATAACACCATACAAAAAATGGTTACAAATGGCGGCTACTATTTTAGATGCCTGTCCACTTAGTTTAGTTTTTTCAATAGCTTAGGTTCTTTCCTTACATGCTATCAACTCATGAAATCCAACATCCACGACAAAACACACTAAACGATTATAAAGGAACAGATAGTGAACCACAAGGCATAGGCACTGTAAACTGGATGCTTTACTTTGGGTATGGGAACTACTCTTAGGAGAAACATTGCACCAGCTTCACAGTATTACATGCCTTGACCAGCAGTATACTTGTTGTTATCTTCAGTCACACACACTTCTCAAGATACCAAAATATATTACTATATGCTAAAAGTTCATGGCTATTACAAACAGAAACCATACCAATACAAATGCAAGACTGACTGAGTTTGAATGCTTACAAATTTTAAGAACTCTATGAAAGGCCAATCCAAGAAAATTCAAAAGATCTTTTCTAGTATCGCATACGCAGTTAAAACTTATAAAAACAGAGGGGAAATACTTCGCTTTTTGATGTCAGGTTCAAGTATTCCATTTCTTGCATTTTTTTTCCTTTATATCGAGTTAAAAATTGTAAAGATAGAGGTTTCTTCTACATTCTATCTGCGACTCAGGTGGACTTGGGCTTCTTCTGATGTCTTAGTTCAGGCCAACATTCTTCTTAAGAAAGAACAAGTAAGTTGACAATGATCGCTTTATTTAACTGAGCGAGAAGTAACAGTTATAAATCATAATGCTGCAGAAGTTCATCTACTTTGAACCATCAATGAAGCACTACTGACAATACCAGTTGAGACAGGGATCCTACATCAGACCACAGTATAGATAAATTTATCAGCAATACCAGATGCCAATGTCATGTTTTAACACTACAACAGAACTTAGATGACAGTTTTCTCAATTTTGAAATCTGAGCCAGCAATCATACCTCGTAATCTGTTACAAAATTTTACTCTTATTTTAAAAAAAAAAAGAGCACAAAAAAGTTTTAGCAAAAGACTTAAAAGCTGAGAAGTACTAAGGTAAGAAGACACGGTAGTATATTTTTACTCCTCTGACCTAATTCATGAAAGTTCTAGAGGTTATTAGGCACAAGGCTAATTTTCTCTTTTCCTTCATTACATTGCATAATTGCTGGAGCTGTCACTCTGTCATCAATTCTTTTGCACCCCTTTTGTTCCGGGAATTTCAAGCCGCCAAAAGGAGAGGACTTAGCCGAGAGATGAAAATCCATGTTATGAATACAGCAGAAAAGGCAGAGTGGTAAGAACTGCAGAGAATTTTAAGGGAGAAGCTAGATATGATGTGTGGACTTCTTTTTTCTTGATAAGGTAAAAAAATTTATTAATAAAAGTACCAAGCTGGTATATAAAAAGTACAAAGAAACATACAACCCCTACACCAATTTCAAGCTACATAATTCTCAAATGAATTCAAGAAATCCAAATACTGATCCATATTGCGAAGCAAACTTTTCTCACACCAAAAAAAAGACTGTGAAGGCAAAGGTTCTTGACTCCGGAGATATGATTCTTCTTATTCTCAAAGCAAGCATTGTTCCTCTCACTCCAAATGGTCCAGAAAATACACAAAGGGATGGTCCTCCAAAACATTTTCTGGGTTCTTGCTATCTTCTGATCGTTCAAACTATCCAGTAGCACCTGACATCTGAGGGCATTACCCAAATTACACCACATAGATTCAGGAAGAGCTCCCAACACTGCTTAGCAACTCTACAATGAATAACAGGTGATTAACTGTTTCTAGTTCCTCTTCACAAAGATAGCATTTGTTACTTAACATGAAACCCCTCCTCTGTAGATTATCTTGGGTTAGGCATGCTTTTCTTATGAAAATTCACCCAAAACAAGCCACCTTGCTAGGTGCTTTGGATCTCCATAACATCTTCCATGGCCAGTTGGGTCACAATATTCTGATTGCTTTTGTAGAATGCTATAGCAACTTTTAACAGAGAATTTCAAATCATTGCTTGCTGTCCATACCATAGTGTCCTCCTTATTTTCTACAACCACTGCTGTACTCAGTACTTGTAATAGTTGCCCAACTTCCACCACCTCCCAATCATTAAAATCCCTTCTAAAATTCAATTGCCGCCCATCAGGAAAGTAAAATTCAGAGACACAACCTTCTCTATTAAAGGAACAATTGTAAAGAGTTGGGAATCTGTTTTTCAAACTTTCCTCCCCCACCCAAAGTTCCGACCAAAACTTTATCTTGGCCCCGTAACCAAGTTTCAATTTAGTGTGTTGTTGAAATTCATTCCACAACTTACTCATATTAGTCCAGATACTACCTCTTGAAGAATTTTGAGCCACAGGGGGGCACCGTGAGCCTTTCCTCACATATTTTGCATTTATCAGATTTTTCCAGGTTTTGTCACTCCCATCATTATATTTCCTTAGCCATTTGAGCAATAAGCTCTTATTATGTAATCTCAAATTTCTAACCCCCATGCCACCACCCTTTCTGTCAATCATTACCTTTTGCCTTTTTACCAAATGTAGCTTCCTCTTCTCTGCCATGCCTTCCCACAGAAAATTACTCCTTAAGAGTATTCAGTTTCTTCTCCACATACACAGGTAGCTGAAACATAGACATAAGATAAGTAGGCATTCCATCCAAGGCTAAAGAAAGTCTGCCTCTAAGTGATAAATATTGTGTTTTCCATGAAGTGAGCTTTATAGTACATCTATCCACTACCCCTTGCCAGTTTGTTTTATCATTCTTCTTAGCACCCAAAGGCAATGGCTCATCACGTATATTTTGTTAGTATCTGTACATGTCTATGCATCCATAAAACCTTCTTTTGCTACTACCTAAACTAGAAGAACCGTTATGAACCTTTTGGTCAATTAACAGAATTACTTAATGAATCGACCTAAAAGGCTAGTTCCATACCTAAAGGTGGATACAAATAAGATGATTTTCTTCAGCACAGTCAGTTACGGTGTCAAATGATGCTTTAGTGACAATCTTTATTCTTTAGAAAATTGGATTAGCTGATGCTTGTTTATATAGAAGTTTCAAATATTCCAGATGATGGAAGGAAATAAGAGAACTTAATGTGTTCTTTCTTACTAAGAAATTCTAAACCTTCAGATATCTATCCACATCAAAAGCACAACGGACACTAAATTGAAACCTATGAATCAAATCCTACAATTTAAAACTTGAGCAAAAGAAAGTGAAATTTTAGGTGCCGAGGATCAGAGTTACATCATCACGTTCTGATAGACATGCAATATGGTATACAATGTGATAATGGGCGTGAGAATCAAGGTGTTGAGGTTCAGGCTTTTGAAGATTATGGGATCCGAATTTGATGTTTAGCTGTAAAGTGGAGGTAGGAAGTGAAAACTGTTTGTTATATCTGCAGCAAATGCAAACTTTTTTTTTTTTTTTTTGAAAATGAAGGAGCAAACTTAAACTAAACTTGCAAAATCACAAGCAATGTGTGCATGTACAAACAGATAGACAGACACAAACACACAGAGACATACACACAAAGTTATGTGCATGTGTGCACCCATATGTTTACAATATTCAACAACACCAACAACCCAGTGAATCCCACAAGTGGGGTCTTGGGAGGGCAGTGTGTACGCAGACCTTAGGGAGGAGACCTAATGTTTACAATATTCCTGAATAAAAAATCCAGTAAACTAAAGATGGAGAATTCCAAGTCCTTTGCAATTTAAAAGATAATTATGAATATCTTTCACCAAGCAAGAAAAAAAAGATATCTCTTTGTTTCAACTCAAATTTTAGGTAAACTGAGCCCCCATCAGAGAACTTGGTCATGAATTAAATCAGGGTTCACTTGAAGTTGATTTTAGAATTACAATCCATAACAATATCTTGGAGAAAACTTCAGGTACTTTTATGAGTAGCACTTTAGTTACCTATTGTGAAGACATTGTCATTAATTTAGACCCTTCTGTTTGCCTCTGAGATTAACCTCAATCTCCGAGTCTCTCCACTGGATTATAGCATACCAAACCTCAGTATGTACAATTGGCAGCAAAGTTATTTGAAAAAGGTAATCCATCATCTCTGTCCATCTCCTCAACGTTACGAAATCCTTCATAGGATGGGATCTATAGTGGAATCACCAGTTCATCTCTCCTTTTTATAAGAATGAAGCTGAAGCCAACAATCAATTGCTGCATCAATCATGTCCTGAATAAAGTACAATGCAAAATGATTGCTCGGAAGTCCAAAGTGGAGAACATCATTGTCAGAGACTTAACTTTGCACCAAAATGTTACGATAAATCAAATCAAAAGTACCTGAACGAGAGTCCAACTCCCACCATGCACGAGCATCTTCCTTAGAGATGGAAGCACCAACATCCTTGTTATCATCTTCCCCTGAAAAGAGTCCATCAGAATCATCGCTCTCAACTTCGGAGTAATACTGCTTTTTCTCTGCCTCTGGATCATAAGTCCACTCCAATCTTTTCAGAACATCTCGGTCTTTCCACCGGCCAACAACAGAGACAGCTTCTTTCTTGGCCTTTCCCATCATGATCTCTTGCCACGAGAAAGCAGCATCTGCTGTTCTCTTAAGAGCACCGTCATTGCAATCACCAACAACTACTGTCTTCAAACACCTCAACCTCGCCTCCTTCAAGACTTCCACGAAATCCGAATCATCAGACACAAGAACCACACACTCCACCATCCTCTTATCCATCACATCAACCAAATGATTCCTCAATGCAACATCAGCAGCTTGTGGCTTATCCGAAACAGTCCTAACCCAAAAGCCTGCTCGTTTTAACTCATCCGCCAAACCATACCCGACTTTCGGAGTCAAAACATCCCTAACAGCATTCTTATACTTATCCATTTTCATTGCATACTTAGCCACCAACTTTATCCTCATTTTTCCTCTAGCAGACTCTATCTGATTCAACCTTTTCGTATGCTCGCGCTCGTGAATTTGCTTAAAATGATTCACAAGCTTCTCATTAGTATAAAATCTCCTCCCGCACACTCTACAAAAATAAGGTTCCTCTACCTTTACAACCCCACTTTTTTCCAAAGAATTCAATGTTTTCCTCTCTTTCCTTTGCTGCCTAACTAAAGGAGGAACATAACTAAACGCGTGTCGATTAGCATAAGCTACTGTATATCTCACAACCCCAAATTCCCCAGCTGCATTTTTTAGCTTTGTGGCAGCTTCAAATGGTGGGAATGACTTAGGTGGTTTGTTATCCAAATCCCAGAAAATCCCAACATTGGTTCTAACTGATGAGCCTAAAGAACCAAAACCCAAAAGGGATTTGGATTCAAAGTGACAAAATCTTTTATAGGAGCGAATAGCATGGATAAAGGTGCTAGCTTTGACAAGTTTCATCATCTTCTGATAAAAAAGAACAAAAAATTGAGGCTTTCTTGATACTATAGAGGGCAAAAAAAACCCAGTTTACTGTTCAGATACTCCACAAAGGAGATATGCTTAATTACAAGAATTATTCAAAAAGAAGGGTTAGAACGCACTAAGCATATTGATTGAGGAATTTGCGAGCACTGTTCGGGATGAATTTGCTGAGAAGATTTATGTCGCCTTAGCACAAAATTGCTTGTTTGTGGTTGGAACTTATATGCTGTTATGTATTTTGGAAAAGAGGAATGGGCTTTGGCGGGAAAATGTTTGCGCTCTGCAGTGTTTGTTCTATTGTCTCAGGAAATGAAATGGGCTGTTTAAGGTGGAATCACGGTGGAGATGATGTAAGATTCCGGCGTGTCAGGCGGCGCTGAGGAGCTATGGAGGTTTCAACCGGCGGCGTGTGGAGCTATAGTTAATTTAACAGGTTTTGTTAGTAGGTGAGTTAATTTCTTAAATGTCATCCAATTTATGGGAATATTCCATTAAAGTTACTTTTATTTTTTTAGGACAATAAAATCACCTGTGTTATAAAATCAAAACTATAAAGTAAATAAATTGAAAATAAGTATAGAGTGAGAGATTGATATATTATTCAAGGAAGCAGAGGCTTTTCTTGAGCTGCTTGTAGGGCTGCATCGGGCGGTTATTTACTTTTAACGGTTTGGCTTATCGGTTATCGGCTTTTAAATGTATTAATTCGCTAGCCACCGGATAAGATATCAGGCATCGGTTTAGCTCTTATCGGACGGTTTATCGGCCTAATTCAATCAAAATAAAATAAAATTTAGTCTCTGCATGTTTAAATAGATGGTCGACGCACTAAGAGGGACGAAGCAGAAGAGACACCGTGATGGGTAAATCATCTGTCTAGAATCTTATTTATGTTTATGCACATTGGCCTTAGTCCATGTGAAAGATTTCCAATTGGCCGTTGTTAAAACAATTGTTCGTCATGCTTAGAATTCTAGGATGCCTTAAAACCCAGGCAAAGTTGATGAGGCAGTGGTGTAACTGGTGTTGTTATCTTGTTTTAGACAGCAAATTCTGTCTTTTGTCATAGTTGGATGACTCCTTTTATTTGGCTTTCTTTTATTCTAATTCACTTTGATAGAGTACTAGAGGAAGAAGGGTTTTTGCTTATTTAATATATATATATATATATATATATATGGATAAAAATAAATTTTATATGTATATGTATATATATATATATATTTTACCGCGTTAACGGATTATCCATTAAGAAAATTGAATAATCCACCCCCAAACCGATAAGCTGTTAATCAAAAAATTTCAATCTGTTCCCCGTCCGTTAAACCGTTAACCCGATACCAATAAGCCATTAAGCTTCGGTTTCGGTTCGGTTCGATTTTCGGTTTCGGTTCACTTTTGAACATCCCTAGTTGTTTGTAAGTTGTCTGCATGAGCTGCTTGCAACCTGCCTGTTTAATAATAAGCTGCTGCAAATCATTTCATTGAGTTGCTTGCAACCTGCCTGCATCAGCTGCTTTTAGATAAACTTCAAGAAGATTATGTATAGAGGAGTATCAAATGAACATCCATAATATAATTATTTTCATAACACTCCCCTTTGGATATTCATTAAAAGATATTGTGCATCGTTAAAACCTTACTAGGAAAAATTCAGTGGGAAAAATCCTAGTAAAGGAAAAAGAGTACACATATTTAGTAATACGCATTTCTAGCTGCCTCATTAAAAACCTTATAAGAAAAACCCCATGGAAAAAAATCTTAGTAAGGAAAAAAGAGTACAACGCGTATTTCACTCCCCCTGATGAAAACCTTGTTTCAAATATTTGAATCTCTACATTCCAATCTTGTATACCATCTTCTCAAAAGTTGAAGTTGGCAAAGATTTAGTAAACAAATCTACGGGGTTGTCACTTGAACGGATTTGTTGCACATCAATGTCACTATTTTTCTGAATATTATGCGTGTAGAATAATTTTGGTGAAATGTGCTTCGTTCTATCTCCTTTTATATATCCTCCCTTTAATTGGGCTATGCATATATCATTGTCTTCGTATAAAATTGTGGATCTTTTATCACATTCCAAACCACATTTTTCTCGAATGAAATGAATCACTGATCTCAACCATACGCATTCCCTACTTGCTTCATGAATAGCTATTATCTCAACATGATTTGAAGAAGTAGCAACAATAGATTGCTTTGTGGAGCACCATGATATGACAGTATCTCCACATGTAAACATATACCCGATTTGAAATCGAGCTTTATGGGGATCAGATAAATAACCTGCATCTTCTTAACCAATACGATCTGCACCACCTTTGTCAGCATTAGCAAGATACATCAGTGCACCATTGCATTGAAATAGAGTATTTCAGGACCAAGGAGTTCCTCATCCTCTTCTGGAGGTTGGAACAGATGCTTATTCACTTCAAGTGATCGAACAACCATTGGTGTACTCAATAGGTGTGTTTTGTCCATGTAAAAGTGTTTTAAGACCCTTTCTGTATAGGCAGATTGATAGATAAAGATTCTGTCTGCTAAATATTGAATTTGTAGACCAAGACAAAGTTTTGTCTTTCCAAGATCTTTCATCTCAAATTCTTTCTTAAGATATTCAGTTACCTTTTGGAGCTCTGCTGGAGTTCTAACAAGATCTATGTAATTTGATCGAATATATTTCTCAAGACTTTGAATTATATGCTTTAAGCATTTTAGATCCTTTAGGGATCTTCACATAAATTTGATCAAATGAGTCATATAAGTTATGACATGCATTTAAATGGCATAGCATCGTCAGGTGTCTAGACTACAGGTCTGATCCTCACAATCTTTTACAATATTGTGCACTATAATATATCAAATATATCGTCGGCGATCATTTCGTATCGGTTCGCAAGCGACATAACTTGTTGAGATCTCATCACTTTCTTTATTTTTAGGTACCTGAACTTCTTCTGGAGTTTCATGAAATGTTATGTCGTGGGCTCTTCTACAGCTCATTTTCTCCTCATTATGATTATTTTGATTATTTGCTCTTATCATTTTTCAAGGATTGTTACCTTTGGAACTGATTGGTCTACCACGCTTCATTCGTATAGTAAACTCTATCCTTTAGGGACTTTAATTTTAATAGGAGCATTTGCAGCTGAAATATGATATTTAATTTTGGATCAACAAATGCTTCTGGCATTTGACTTGAATTATCTTCTAAGTGAGGATCATATTAATGATAGTTCGATTCATATAGTATATTTTTCAGCTGTTTATTTCATCCCCCAAATGTCAGAAAAACTAACATATATCCCCAATCTTCTTTGGGAAATATATCTTTGTGTATTGTGGTAGATAAATTAATCATATACCACACATCAAAAGATAGTAAAAATATTTGGTTTCTGATCCTAAACCAATCGTGAGAGGAGGACTTATCATATATTGTTGGTCTCATGCATACAAGTGCTTCTATATGCAATTTAGAAAATCTTAGACCAATACATGTGCTCTCATATGCAATGGTTTAGCCATTAATAGGAGGTATTCAATGCTAAACCAGCTTGGATATAAACCAACATTATCAATATGAACTGTCTTGATTTCATAATCTGAAAATTATGCTCTTAACTGAGAAAAGCAATTCCAAATGCCAAACTGCAGGTTGACAATAATCACACATGTAACCATCTCATATATGCATCTATAAGTGGTTCACATGATAGGTAAATGGGCCCATATTCAACTTTTATATATTTCAGAATTAGGGGTCTTAGTCCCAACTTTAGCTGGTATAATCAATTTATTATGAGAACAAACAACACATGAGAATTCTTGAAGAATCTTCTCGTTCTTCAGTATATGCTTATTTGAATTCTCAAATAGCTCATTTAAAAATGGCAAATAAAAACTTCAAGTTTATCATGACATGTGCTATCTCTTAGCAAACTTCTGGTTTACTATGGCATAAACTTTTGCATTAGTAAACTTCTAATTTACCGTGGCTACTTTTGTATTAGCAAATTTCTGGTTTACTGTAGCTACTTTTGCCTCGGTAAAACTTTTGGTTTATTGTGACTATTTTTGCATTAGTAAACTTCTAGTTTACCGTGATACATGATGTAGTATAAATTGAAGAATAAGGCGGGTCACTTCTCAGATACATATTATTTTACCCCCTATGATTGAGGAAACACGAAGATGTTCAATCTTCCAATCATTTGTAGTCTCAATATAATAGCCATTTGTATTAGTAAACTTCGGGTTTACCACAACATATGCTTTGACTACAATCATATAATATGAATGATAAATTTGCACATAAGCTCTTCGGGAGCCTTCAATTTATTTTTCATAATCAAATATTATTCAGACACTACTTGTATCATGTGTCTTCTAGACAAACAGTTAGCTCTTCAAGAGTTGTTGATACATTTTGTACTATCAAATATTGCTTAGACACTTCTGGTATCATGAGACAAAATCATAATCAAATAAACAATATAAATATTTAAGCACAAGAAAACACCTCTTCGTAATATTTTCCTACTTCATGAGGAAATTTCAATTGTGTTACTTCTTTAGGAGAAAATACAAAATATTGAGTATATATTCTCTCAATCATATTACCTTTTTTGGAGGTGTGTTGTAATATGTTTACATCAAGAGCGCGTTCATATTTACGAGCTTTATTAATATTATCACATTCATTTCAGGAAATAGATTAAAAGTTATCAAAAGTTCTCATCCTTCAGGGAACGAAACATAATTATATGAACGCGCATTAATCACACAAATTGTGTGATGTCTTAGAAGCTCTTTTACGATAATGCTACTTCAGGAGCAAATTGAGGTGTGCATGTACTATAGAAAATATGTCTCTAGCTTATCTTCAATTGTAACCATAGAAAGCCTAAATTATCACTTCTGGTGGTCATAGACATATACCACTTCTGGTGGTTAAAAAAATTTAGTTACAATGAGATAACCAAATATAACCACTTTTGGTAGTTGTATATTTCTTGCAAACTTTGCTGGAGTCTAAGTGGATCTAACAATGTTATCCACTTTGTAATCCTTTACTAAGATAATTAGGGCGAAAACAAATACCAAAATAGGTACTGTTGTGATGACCCGACCAGTCGTCTCATGAGTTACCGCTCTGTTTTCCCTATTTCTGTTTCTTATTGCTTTGTCTATCGGTTCTATATGTGATCGGGTTGGTTGGCTGGCTCGGGTTCGAAAAGGATTTGGTAAGGTTTGAGACACTTAGTCTCTTTTGAGGAAACTTAAGTTGGAAAAGTCAATTGGATATTGACTTATGTGTTAGAGGGCTCGGATGTGAGTTTTGATGGTTCGGTTAGCTTCGAGAGGTGATTTGGGACTTAGGAGCGTGATCGGAATGAGTTTTGGAGGTTCGGAGTAGATTTAGGCTTGAATTGGCGAAGTTGATATTTT